CAAATACCCGTCTGATCACTGTGCAAGTCTCTAAAGACCTTAAAATACAACTGTCTGAGTGTTATTAGTTTATTTGAATTTTAATGACCACTTTGCTTTTTGGAAAGGTCAAAACCGTCACTGCAGGATGCTTGTGTAAATACATGAACAGAAGACCAAATGTCTGCCATTTCCACTAACAATATTTATTACTTACAGTGTGTGTTTCCGAGCAGAATTTGAATTTTCTATAGTAAATCTAATTTTATAGCATCAAAACAAAACAAAAAAAACAATACGCTTGTGTTGGGAGCAACATCTGTGTGAGGTGAACCTCTTTATTTTATCACAGCTGATGGTAATAGCTCTACTCTCCCTGGCTTTTATACATATTTGGGTTTTGTTTGTTTATTTTTTCTATTGTGACTGAAGATGCAATCATTAGAGATAATCAGTGCAGAAACCCTTCTAATTCCAAAGGGCAGAGTATTCTTCTTGCAGCTGAAGACCTGCTTTCATCTTACAAAAGTAATTTTATGGCTCCTGCCCTGCACAAGCCAAAATGGGCAGATGCAATCTTACCTGCGTGCAGCTTGTGTTCCTCACTGACCGCCACTGCTCTTGTGTAATGTAGTTGTCTAAACCATGACTGCACTGGGTGGGAGATAAGAAGACATACTGTCAAGGCTCGGTTTATTGCTTTTACTGCAAAATTCAGGAAAAAGGCATGATTTTAAGGTACGGAGAAAGGGGATGCAGAGGAGGGAGGCAAAACAGCTATAGCCAAAGAGGCTTGAAAATAAACTGGTTTGGAGAAAGACTTAGGAAAAGGGGGAACAGAGAACAGGTGAAGAGGGGGAAAAGCTGCAGAGCTGAGAGGTTAGATCTGACATCTTTAGAGGCAGACTAAAGGATAGCTGGCTCAGACATGAGAAAGCTCTGACAGCATGTCTCACTTTACCGTTTACTCCTCTCCTCAGCAGCTAATAACACAGCAGGCTGGAGTTTCACAGATATTATCCATCATACAGTCTGTCTCAGCAGACATGATGGTACACGTAAATTCAGGTATTGTAACCAACGTCTTAGAATAGAATAGAATTAGAATAGATAGATAGTCTTAATTTACAGCTCAGCTTTAAAGACAAACATTCGAAGCTGGGTTTTGTAATTCCATTCAGAGTATTAAAGTACCATGCAATTATGCTTATTAGTGGCCTTAAAGGGGCCTAGTATGCTCATAATCAGCTCCATACACTGATTCTTGGACTCTGCAAGAGTAGCTTAGCATGGTCCACATGCACAACTC